AATTTTTTTTCAAAAATATGATAAAACATGAAATTTTAAGTTATAATCAGCATTTATTTAATTGCAAGCGAATACAAATTTTTATTGAATAACGCAAAAATAAGCATTTTTATTTAAAAAAAATCTAAGCTATCCAAATTACAAGCCCAAGCTTGCTTTCAACTGCTGGTTTTGTAATTCAATAGCCTCCGCTTCAGCGGCTTCTTTTCTAACTCTGGTTTGACGTTCTAATAAAGCAATTCTTCTTTCTTCCAATTCAATATCTAAAATTGAATCATTTTTATTGTTATTTTTCACCATGGATGTACCCTCAGCATTATTCATTGATTCCATTTCCATTACTTCAATTGCGTCTTGAAAACTGGTTTCACGTAATCTTTTATTATTCTTATTGGTGATGGAAATCTTTCATTAGTGCTTGTAGACCTATATCGGGTTGCTAAATAAATGAAAAAAAATAAATAAATTTGATGTATATAGTTTTAATAAATAAATTTGATGTATAGTTTTAATAAATAAATTTGATGTATATAGTTTTAATAAATAATTTTCAAATAAATGTTTACCTCTTCTATTTGATGCAGTTTGTTGTCTTTTAACCTCACTTTTGTCATTTCTTGTATATGGTATGCCTGAATTCTTGTAGGTTTGTTTAATTTTTAATAACCTTTCATCGTATCACCTTCCACTAAAATAAATAAATAAATTAATAAACAGTTTTGTTATAAATAATTTTATATAGTTAATAAATCTACCATAGAATAGCTGATAAAAGTTTTAATTGTTTTCCTTCCTTATTTGCTAAAGCGTGAGCCGATTCTGCAGAATTGGTGTTATTGTCATGTTTTCTCCAAATATTATACTCCATTTTAGACATATGTACATTAAATGAAGAAATTATCCAAGGTGTTTTATAATAATTGGCCCATTCTAATAATTTTTTTTTAAATTAGTATAATTATTTTTTAAAAAAATTGATTTTACCGTATTTACCTTTAGCACCTGGTTTGTCTGATGATTCGATTTTATCTAAAATTGATTTGACTAATTCTTGTGAAGGTGCATTAAGGATTGACTTAGCTAAATTATGAATTTCTTGTAAAAACTGTTTGTTAAAAAGATTTCTAATTATAAAATAAATATATAATTAGTTATTTTGTTAAAATATGGCCTAACTTTAATATAATCATTGGATCGATAATAAAATTTAATGTGACTAAGACGACGAATATTATATTTTATATTTGGGAACCCCCATAGCAAAACAAACCATTGGGCAAAAAATTTTGATTTTGTAATTTTATAAAAATTGAATTCCTATTACTCTAATTCTTCGAGAAATTGAGTTTTTTAAAAAAATTTTTTTTTTGCCCAATGGCTTGTTTTGCTGTGGGTATCCCCATTTATTGGTTTACTAATAAATATAATTTGTAACTATATTAAAGATAATTATTTTGAGATTAATTACCATTTAAAATAAATGGTACAAGACTTAAATATATGTATTAAATGCATTTCCCAATCTCGCGATAGATCTATATTATACAATGTAGCCCTAAACCTTTCACTTGCGCAGAATCCAAATCTCTTATTATACATTTCCAACCTTTTTAATGAATATGATGGATGTATATATTTTCATTGGTGAGTTCCTGAATTATTTCAAATAAGGTACAAAATAGTTTTTTCTGATGATATATTCGTGTATATTCTGCAATAACTTAAAACTATCATTTTATTAGTATATACGATAATATCTATAAATCGTAAAATAAAAATACTTACTTAATTTATTATTGGCATCATATGTATTAATTTCGAATTCATTTATATCACCCTTAATATGTTTGAAAGCCAAATTGATTTGAAAACTTTTTAAATTAATTAACAACTCGGCTTGCTATTTTAACATGCAAATAATTAAAATATGACCAGAATCAATTCATTCTAAATAATAAAAATAATATATATAAGTAATTATAACTTTATACATAAATATGAATTTACTAAGATATATATAGCACAAAAATTTGGCAGCACTATTAGAATACATAGATTAGTTACAAAACCAAATTCAGCAGATTAACTAAATTCAGATTAAAATAGCCAGAATTGATAAATTATCTAAATTTTACTAATAAAATGATAGCTCACCTACAAACTAAATAATTAAATGATGATTTGTTATAGGATAGTTAACTAGTATTATTGTCAAATACTAGTCTAGCTTTGAACCTATACTGGTTCAAAATTTTGTTGAATTGCTAAATTTTTAGTTGCACAGCTAATTACCCGAATATTAATCAACTTAGAGATTTTGTCCTCAGAAAATATATCACAGTCACATGAAAAAATAACATAAATTTTCTAAGCATATAAATTTATTGCTTAACAAATTAATAATAAAATTTTGATATGTCAATTCAGCAATATACAGTATCTTTACAATGCTTCAGCTATATAATTTGAAATATTGTTGATTAAATTTATAAAATCAATACATCTAGCTTTTTCTATTTCTCTAAAAGTGTTATCTTCAATTTTTCATATATTATTGGGGTGGTCTTCGTTGCTACATTCTACGTATCTTTAGTATATTTCATATATATAACTGTGATATACATTCTGAGGGTACTGTACGTATTACTAAATTTTTGTACTACTTTATTTAATTTACCTATATGATGCAAATAGTTTTTTATTTCAGAATGACTATTCTTTGCCACATGAAAAATATCTAGAATGTCTTGTCCATAAGGATGCATATTTTTATATGCTTTGGCAACTAAAATACGCAATTTGTCTATGCTATTTAGTGACTGGCGAACTTCGGAAAATGTTTCAGATTTAAAATAGACTTTTATTAAGTTGTCTAAAAAATAAATATTAAATTAAGATTTAATATAATATATTTTGTGCCTTAGAAGTCAACTTGGCTCAAATATTGATTTTTAGTTACTTGATTGAATAGATCGCAAAGTAATTATATCATTTTCTTTAATCGCTTAAGAAATTAAAGATTGAAGACTCAATTTAATATCAATGGGTATTTTTTCTAGAGGTGGAAGTGGATGGTTATATATTTCGACACATACTACTACAATAAATAGACAAGCTTCAAGATCCCGTGGTATAAATTTATAAAATTTTACTGGGTAATGCTTTTGAATAATCTCTCCACAGTCAATATTTCCATTAGATAACTGATGAATATAATCTAAGTTGTATATTATATAAGTAAATTAAAATAAATAATATATTAAAAATAATAAATTATTACATATAATACATACCATATTTTTTTCTTTTAGATGATCAATGCAATAGAGTTGTACAATAAGGTAATTCTTCATGTATCTATATAATACATATAATATTAATTAATATATATATTAATTATTAATATAATATATACAGTAATTTATATTAAACAACACCTCTTCCTTTCCAAGAAATAAATCACGAAGAAGTATAATATCAACAGTTTTATTATTAACTTTAATATAATGATGCTATTGATCTCCAATATGATATATTGAACAGTCAATAAACCATTGATATATATATTGTATATTCTGAGAAATATGTGATTTACATAAAATTAGACTTCCAGAACATATACTTCTATTATTGTATTTGAATTTACAAGGAGTATCTTTAGCAGCCAAATATGTACTATATTTAAAAAACCAGTTTTAGTATATATCAGTTAACCAATTTGTTATATATTTTATATATACAGTATTTTTTATATATAAAATTATAGCAAAAACATATAGAATTATATATAAGCTTTGTTGTGATGATGTTTTTTCATTTACATATTAACTTTAAATTAAATTTTATGAATAAATATATCAAGAAAAGGCAAAAAAAACACGGTTTGGACTGAATAAAAATGTTGCAATTTTAATACAATTTAAAAATATAAATTTGTCAAAAGAAAAAATTTAGCAGATTTAAAGTAAGAATTATATGTAAAATTATATTCTGAACAACTTCAGTCTAG